ACGCGACTGCTGGCTGCAACTACTGTTCCCTCACCAACGCGGACCAGTTCTTGGCCGGCTCTTCGATCTATTACGGCGAAAGGTGGAGGAACTTTGGCATCATTTTTGCTTTCATCGGGTTCAACGCCGCCATTGCTGTTCTCACTTACTACCTCTTCCGCGTTGCGAAGCTTAGCTCGTTTAAGAGCTTCTTCCATAAGAACAAGAAGGGTGCGAAGGCGAAGGGTACAGCGGATAAGGCACAGGAGGGTGCTGAGAAGGCGGCGCAGCAGGGTGGACACCCTGGTGAGAGGACTGGGGAGAAGGATGCTGGTACTGCTTGAGCGTTTTGAACAGTAGTCGTTGATGTTTTTTGAGCGATTTGTTTCTTTCTCTTTCGTATGCATAGATGTTTTGGGTTATCTTGTTTAATCAATAGTTAATATTACATTTTGATCTTCAGTCATTCAGCGCGTGGTTCCTCGGTGAAAACGAGTGAAGTGAGTCCATCTGGAACGTGCCAGAAGTTTTCATACTCTAGTGGCAGTTGACAAGGCTGACAGTATTATTATAGAGATGGTGAGCGAAGCGAACCCAGAAAGTGGTTTACCTTGCTGCTCGAGGGCGCGATGGCAACCCGTGAGGAAGGCGCCTGGGTCACGGGAACACGCGTCGTCGCTCCTTCCCCAACAGCCAACATTGCAGCCTGGCCTCCCTCATGACGTGTAACGCGACGCGTACGCCCTTCTGGTCTCACATCGCGTTTTCTCGTCTTCACTTCATCACTCACCTCCCGCAGCAAAGATCAGCACCGTCAACTGTCATCCGCAGTAGTTCACCTTGACTGCTTGCTTCCATCAACCGCTCAGCTCCAACTCTCTGTACGCAACTACTACAAGCAGTGAATCTTCAAGATGGGTGCCTGGGGATACTGTAAGTGACAAGCATACTTCAACCAAACACCTTATCGACTAACACCATGCCAGGTCTCTTCCAGTCAGACCACGACTTCGAAATCGTCGAAGCTCTCGATACCGAAGCCGGTCTCTTTCCACTCATGGAAGCCGCTCAGGCCAGGGCTCGAGCTCAAGGCAAGTCTGAGGAAGAAGCAGGACGCTGCTGTGCATACAGCACCTACGCCCCCTACTGCTCTCACCCCAAACTCATCCGCAACCACTTGGACTCCGGTATCCTCGCCGACATGATCGCTACAAAGGAGACGAAGATGCTCACTGGTCCCGTCGGCCTGAAGGAGAAGTGGTTCGGAAGCTGGGGACCGGATCCCACCTACGTCTACGTCCTACTCGGTGCTTGTGCCATGACTCTCGGATGCAAACTCCCCGCTACCTACATCACCATGCTCAAGAAAGTCTACACTGAAGGTGGTCTCATGCCTGCTGCGCAGGGCCAAATGAAGAAGGCGCTCTTCGGTCCGAACGGCTACAAGAACGGAGTTCCTTACGACTTCAAATCCAAGAGCATCACCGAAGAGGCCAACGCTAGACCCTCTGAGCCCGACAACGGAATGGGTTTCCAGATGATGAATGTTCCTGGCCCAGGAGGTCTCTTCAGCACTGGTATGACAGATTCGACTACTTCGCTTGTCGTCAAGGAGCTTCGTGAGCAGTTCAACAAGCCGGACTTGTGCGGCGGATGTGGTGTCAAGGCTAGAGCTGGAAGTGACGCCCTGCTTGCTTGTGCCAAGTGCAAGAACCGCAAGTACTGCTCCACTGAGTGCCAGAAGAAGCACTGGAAGATTCACAAGAAGGTCTGCGAGCCTGCCGATGTCTTGTTGTAAGCTGGTGGCTTGCACACGTAAGAGGGTTTTCGGGAGAGTGTGCGATGTATGCGCAAGATGGTGCCACGGCTATGCCGGCGCAATGACAGGAGCAGGATGTGACAGTCACACGGTGAAGCGGTCTGACTCTCATCTGTTGTTACGTTAGTGTATGTAATATGAGACGAAATACAATCACGGCTTACAAGCTATATCCATGTAGTCAAGAACATCGCTGTAGTGACTTGGGAACAACCATAAGCAGACTATTGAGGAAGCTGTATTCATAACACGTTGTTATTCGACAAGAAATACCACCCTCGTTGAACCCAACAGGATGCACCCTTGACCAATATCTACTCTCACTACCCCACATCAACCCCATGCTGCTCTAACAATACCCAACAACCCACCCATCTAAACACCCACCCTCCAACAGATCAAGCATCTCGACCTTCCTTGCGAGACCGATCCACAGCATCCCTATTCACTCCATCCTACCAAGCAAACATGCACTTATTATTCAACAGCCTCGCCCCCAACATATCATACTCATACCGACTAATCCAGCCATCATTGCCATGCCCGCTCAACCGGCCAAACACACTCCCCCCCTTCCACACCACAACCTGCGGATCAAAGTCTCTTGGCGGCGGCCCCACAAGAATCTCTTTACCGTAACCCGGTCGCAACTCACGGAGTCGCATCTCGAGAAACTCGCGTAGACCGGGTGTTTTGGACGCGCCGCCAACGAGCATGATGCCGCCGAAGAAGTCGCGGAGCTTGCGGTCGTCGCCGCGGGCGCCTTGGGAGAGGGATTCGAGGATCGCGGCGTCGAGGGAGTGGATGGGGAGGATGGCGTCGCGGGCTTCGGCTAGCTTGGTCTTTTCGTGGATGGGGTCGCGGAAGAGGAGGGGGGCGCCGTCTGTGTCGCCCATCGGGGTGTCGCGGTCCGGGTTGGGCGTGTTGCTGCCTTCGGGGCCTGGGGAGCCTGCTACGGAGGAGCGGGGTGTGCCTTCGTTGTCGTTGAGGCGGCCGAGCAGGTTGAAGGGGTTTGGCTGGGGGCGTTGGGGTGTTGAGGCGGGTGCTGTGTTGTTTACGGCTTCTGAGGCGCCGTTGATGGTGGGTACGACGGGTTTACCGGCTGCGGCTTCGATGATGGCGATTTGTGCTTGGGAGATGGGGTCGTTGGGTGAGCCGTCGTAGAGATCGACTGAGCGTGGCACGACCTTCCTTCTGTTCTCAAGTTTCCGCGCGTTCTCGAAGATTGAGGGCTTGAAGAAACCCTGAATTCGTTAGCAGGGTCCATCTTACATGATTATTGAGTTACTAACCATGACAGAAAGCATAGTCTCGTCGTACGTCTTGAAAGTGTACTTCCGCGTGTCTTGGCCCGAAGCGCGAAGGTGGAAGTCCCACGTTTGTACCGTGACCGAACCTTCATCCATAGAGCAGAACTTCTGCTTCAGCTCCTCGGCAAGCAGGAAGTCGTATCTCCGCTTCAGGTTCATGTCGGCATACGGGAAATGACCGTAGAGCATCATCTTGATGAAAGTCTCGGTCACATCAGCTCCGCCCATCTTGAGGTTGACACGAGACTCCTCGGCACAGAGCCCCTCGTCAACGCAGCAGATGGACGTCTTCTGAGCACCGATATCGACTACGCAGGCAACACCATAGCCAGCACCGAAAGTAGCCGAAAGCGATTCTTGCTGCAGACAGACCTTTCCAAGGCCAAGATCCCGCATGAGGATGTCCAATATCATTGTGACGTATTGTCGCTCGTAGAGGTCTGGTATGATAAAGACGCACTTGTAGTTGACAAGGTCTTTTAACCTGGTAATACCAAGTTGATTCCGGAAAGCCTCTTCTAATATCTTGGAGAGATCATGGTAGATCTGATTACGGTCGCGATAGTCCTTCTCATTGAACGTGCCGTTCCGTATCGGCCAGAACAGCTTGTATCGTGGGTTGGATCTCTCGGGTATCCGCAGCGCGTCGTGCCCAGTGAAGAAGTCCGGTGCCTTCTTGGGATCTGCAGGTAGTTCTGTCCACTCGATGCGGTTGATGTCATTGTGTTCGGAGATGATGTCTGGGGGGGATTTTCGGTTGAAGTTGATTACGAGGTCTTTCGAGTTGGGTAATACTCGTCGCTTGTTGGATCGCATCCTCGTCCTAAGTTCGGATGACATAGCCATGTACTGGTCGGCAAACTGGTCGAAAGTTAGCACCGCCCATGGAACTAGCACTCAAATACTCACATCCTCTCCAAACCACTTCTCAGGCAAGGCGTCCGCCGGCACGGCACCTTCGACCTTCATCCGCTTGGGGCTAGGCTCTCCTTCGTCTTCCTCGTCCTCACTCTCCTTCCATTTACGTGCGATGACCATAGGTACAGTCTTGGGCAGCGCGTCCGACCCAAGGCCTATTCTCAAGTTCTGACTGCCAGGATGTATCACGATGAGCTTGGAGATGTCGGTTCTTGATGCGAAGGAAACCTCGGCATCTTCCATTGTCTCGTCCGCAACCTGTGGTGTCGCTCCTTCCGTTGCTGGCACCCCCAACGCGCGTGCGCGATCCTTATCCCTGGCTTCTTGTACTATGCGCGCCCTCTCTTCATCCTTGGGGTATCGTACGGCGAGGAACTGTTCGTCGCGCTTGAGGAACTCGGTGTAGTAGTTCTTTTGGTTGATCATGCCAACTTGGGGCCATGTCGTGAGGTCCATGTTGTTGTCCGTTCGCTCCAGACCTGCAGGCTTGTTAGTTGCCATGTTTGCGCTGTGGTGTCCCGATGCCGTACCCTCTTCCCTCAATTGGGCTCTGCCCGATTTCTTTCCAACCATTTTGTTGACTTGTTCAGGTGCGTCTGGCAATTGAGAGGGTCGTGAAGTTGCGGTAGCTTTCGCAGAGTTGCGTGAGCGTAGGCGGTGTCCGAATCTCGAAGGCGATCAATGCCGTCGTGTAGGTGGGACGGCTCTGGTGCGCACACACAGAGAAATGCTGGAAGAGTCGTGTTAGAGCCGTGCAATAGCGAAAGTCGACCGTGGGTGTGGTCGTCTCGGGATAGATTCGTTGGGGATGCCGCTTGCCTGAGTGGTGGTGAAGGCTAGCCTGAGGTTGTTCGTCGCGGTCGCGCGTCTGGTGATTGGATCGCGAAGCTACCTAGGTACGCGCACGACCCCTGGCCCTTAGAACCATCCATCACTTCCACCAGCTCGTCATCATTCCCACAACACTCGCGGCAATGGAGGCGATCGCTGAGAAGCACGCGGGCTTCATCTCCCGCCTGACAAAGCTCCTCGATCTCTTCGTCGCGATGCGTTACATATCCCCATCTGATGTAATTCGCCCACCTCACTCTTCCGAAACCGTCGCAACTTCAATCTTCGAGAAGATTGGCCTGGATTCTGAGGTTATCGGCCTGATCAGATCAATTCCTGCAATGCGCAGCGAAATCGTCGAAGGGTGGCAGTGGTTCGGCGTTGAACTGACACCCCGCTCAAAAGCCGTGACATACTTCGCCGACTCCGGTGACACAGATTTCGTCGAGGATTTGCGGTGGGGTGAAAGGTATCATGACGAGGATACCAAGCTGCTACCGCCTCATATGCTGAGGATTACAAGCGGTGATACCTATAGCGGGCACTACGGTACTGACTTAATCTATGATACACAGGACCGTATGTCAATTACCTGCAAGCAGATAGATTTAACGTTCACCGAATACAGAAACGATAATTGAGTGGTCTTCAGTTGGACCTGACCGCAACGAATGGGAGAAAGCACCTAGACGACCAGCTGAGACCGTGCTTGATGAGATTGTCGCAAAGTTCCAAAGCCTGGAATGGGTTCCGTACTATGACCCCTCAGAGGATGACGATCCTTCCCATCCACCCGCGCGCAAGATCTTGGAAGATCCTATCATTATGCAGAACCTCTTCCCGGGAGGCATTCGTCTTCCTACTGAGACGACCGCCGCGATTCAGTATATGAGACAGCACCATGGCTCAGATGGTGCTGATGGGTGGCGACGGAGGATCAATCGTTTCCGAGCCTGGCAAAAGATCTATCAAGATTGTGGATGGGGCTCAGCAGTTTTTGACATCGAAGCTTTTGAACTGGAAAGATCAAAGCTAATTGAGGCTCTAGAAGAGCTCGATAATTTGGAGTCGGAGGCACGCAATCGCCCGTGGCTTATTTCCGTCGGTGCACAACAGGTAGTCAGAGAGGATGCTCCCACATTGGAACAAGTCACTTCACGGCTTGATCACTTCCTTGTGCAAGCTGCTGGAAAGCTCGCTGTTTGAAGTCGCTGCAGCCATCGCGGAGCCCATGCTGGTCCATGTCACTTGTAAATCAAGAAGTATTTAAACAGCCAAGTATTCATTTCCCTGTGATAGCTCTATATGCTTCAGGGGACCGTCACACTGCCACTTCATGCAAGAAACTTCTGAACAAGTCTGCAGACTGCACTCAGATAAAGCAAGTGAACTAGAAAGACTTTTTGGTAATGCAGGCTCTATAGGGTTCAGTTTCTCCCTATGTTGACATGTTGACATGTCGTCATGACTATGTACATATCGTGTCATTCGTGTAAACGTCTCACACAACTTATCGTAACACCGTGGCACACGTTATCCAGAACTTTCATTCCTTACAGTAACATGCCGCTATTCAAGAGGAGTAGCTACGCCTCCCTAGATAAGCCAGGTAGCAGCCAGTACACCGAAGAACAAGGCAATGAACGAGGCCCTATTATCTCCAGCCTGACCCTTCTTAGTCTCAGTGGCCGCAGCAGTTGTGGTGTCTGAGGCATGGTCAGAGGTATGGCGGGTGACCGTGGAGGTAACAGTCATCGTGGACTCTTCATCCCTTGCGTTCAGCGTGGGGAAGATGCCGGGGGTGTAGCTGATAGCGGTACCGTTCGCGAAAGGTGGAGCATGATGACCACCTGACGGTAAACGCGCCATCGAAGACGTCGAAGCAGCCGAAGATGTGGAATCCAACGCAGACGAGGAAGCCGTCGAAGACGCGGAAGCTGACCAAGACGTGGAAGCCACCGAAGACGAGCTACTAACAGTATGGCTAGGGAACAATCCAACCGATCTGCTCTTGCTAGATGATGGCGGACCGACGGACGACACTATCGATGGTACCTCAGTGCGAGACGCCGACGACGATCCGCCCGAGACATGTGAGGATTTGACATCGGTAGGGAGGATCGCGGTGAAAGACCAAGTGATGGACGGGGGAGGAAGAGATGACGACGTAGAGCTGGGAATGACCTTGATGACTGATCTAGTGATGGTAACTTGGACTGTTGACTGAATGATCACGGTCGTGGTAGGCTCCTCTGCGGGAGGACCTCCAGCGTCCGAAGTGGCTGAGACGGGTTTGTGGGGGAGAGGCTGCACTGAAGGAGCAGCTCCAACATCCGAGGTAGGAGCAGGAGCGGGAGCAACGCTAGAGGTCAGGCTCTGGTCTGCCGTCACAGTGGTTGTCCTGGTGGTAGTGACGGTGACGGTAGAAGGACCTTCGGTCTTCTCGGGACAAAGGTAGGTGAGGGTAGTCTCATAGCCACGTAGCAGTACCGCGTCTGTGCAGAGCTTTGGGAGCTCAGCGCAGTGGTCGTCACGTGCAGCTACAGCATGAGCGAGAACGTAATTGATAGCGGGATTCCACTGGGCAGACTCCGCGGCAGCGCCTGCTACATTTCCGTTAGCAAGACTGATATAGTGGGTAAGTGCGCTGGTTGGAGACTGTTTACCGGCAACTGCGACTATGGTGAGTGCGCGTACAGTGTTCATCTTGGAGGGTGAACGTTTGTATCGGAAGGAGCGACTGGGGTTGAAGTGGGTAGAGGGAAGTAGCGAGTGTGAGTAGCGAGAAGAGTGCGGAATGGATCAAATACTTCAACGAGCGTGGTGAGGTGAGTGGAAGCTGATGATTGTAAAAGAGGTAAATGTTCTGTTGTTATGAGAGCGATTGCGGTCAACGGCACTAGCTCCGTTGGCCCTTGAGCAGCCAATAGCGTCGAGGGCAATTACTGGGACGAGTGAATGGGAGATTGATGTGCGTTTGCACTCGCGCGCTTGCCCTGCTCTCCACTGTTGCTGGTAACATCGCGCAAGTGACGTCATTTCCGTGCCGATGTCGCTTTGTAAAGACGTCTATAGATAGAGGCTGTTTGGGGTGGTGAATGAACGGATACGGTGAGGGAAGAGAACGTTTTGTTCTAGGATCAGAAAGCTAAGTCCGAAGCCCGGCAACCACGCACCATCAGCACTGGCAGAATACGGATCGTTCTGTGGCAACGAAGCTTCTCCGTTTTGTAAAGAGGTCTCCTCAGTCCCCATACAGCTCCATTAGGTGGTTCAGCATCTTCCGCTGCAGTTCGAGGAGCTGCTCTTTCGATATCTTACCGCCCGTCGGTGTCGGCTGCGAGTCGGTGACTTCTGTCGGGTCGTAGCTCGAGCCAACTACCAGATGTGGCTTTACACCAAAGAATGGAACACCCAAGACTTTGAGTGATGATGTTTGTGAGTCGACCATAGCTTTGGAAGCTCGGTATACCTTGGCGTCATATTGATCTAGTTCCTCTTTCTCACGCTCTGGTGTCTGTGCCGCGTTAGTATTCAAAAACCGATACAAACCTATTAGAACATACACGAAGCGCCGGTGTGTTTTCCAAGAGACCTGGTAATGACCTGTGAAAGTCAGTCATGTATCATGAGAAAGATCTTGTAACGTACAGCGCAGCTCGATGAGTCCGTTCGTTCTCCCGCTTGAACTTGTGTTCATCGATCAGATTCTTGCGTCCAGCCTCCCAAGACTTGACATTTGACTCTTGATCTTTCATCAACTGAGCAATTTGTAAGCATTGCGCATGAGGTCACATGATGGTCTGGCTTACTTTGCGAACTGCAGGAGCAAAGTCTGGGTTCTGAGAAGCTATCTTGCTCACACAGCGGAGACCTTGTTTCCATTCCGTGATGGTAGAAGGATCGATGAACGGAGAAGAAACTCTGTCTTGTGGTTTGGGAGGTGGCTGTCGATGCTGAGGAGGCGCGCGGCCAGCCAAACGAGGGTCAGCTGATTGTTGATACGGAGCACTTTGCTGATTTAGGTATGCCTGTTGGGGCTCCGGGTACCCCTGGTGACTTTGATAGGGCTCGTATGGCTGTTGTTGATCTTGAGCTGGCTGAGCTTCCGGTTTGGGCAGGTTCGCAAGTGTAGCCAAAATTTGTGCCAGATCCAGGTTCTGATTGACGTTTTCCGCCATGTCTGCGATAACAGCGCGACTGCACTATTTGATGGTGTTACGGAGACTCTCCAATGCTAAGATGTCGGAAGAGTGGTGTGAATTAAAGGCGGGCACGTTGGATCATGGCGTGTGTTTGCGCTCAGATCAAGGACATTGCAAGGAAAGAAGCAATCTTTGGCCTGCACTGCTCATACTGAATTTTGCTGCCCTCTCGAATCAACGTATCAGCGAGCTCCCGATCCGCACACGAAGAAGATACGATAAGTAGTTGAGCGTTATGGTTGACGATGTACGTTAGCGGGTAGATGGGCGGAAATCTCCGCATCGAACCCTAGTCCATCTCGACTTTTGGAAATCATCGAATCATTCGTTCTCCCGCTCCGCCATCTTCACGACATCTTCCGCCCACAACACTTCCCCTCCGAGCGCTCTTCCCACTTCCGCCCAACATGTCGAAATCACCGAAAGAGTCAACGCGGTTTACAGCCACCGGAGTATGGGCGCACACAAGACCTGGCGGGCGGGCAACGACGCTGCAATTCGCGGATCCCGCACCAAAAAACGAAACGCCACAGCAGAAGGTCAAGCGGTTACGAGAGGCAGCGAACAGGGCAAAAATGGCGCAGGTGACGAGGTGGGATTACATGTACTTGTACGGCAGAATGGCGGCGGATGCGGCGCATAGGTTTACCGTCTATGGCTTGATATTTGCAACAGGTATGTGGGCACCAAGTGGCCAATGGCTGAACGGGTCACTGGGTAGGAATGATGCTAACTGTCTGAATAGGTTGCGTCGGTGTCCTCGCAGTCTTCTCAATAGGCGACATGATCGTCTACAACCGACGGAAACGAGCAATCTACTTCGCCGAAGAGGAACGAGTCCAGGCCAGGATCCTCGAAGCCGCCCGCAATGCTGTCGCAGCAGGAACAGCCTCACCCGCACAAGCCGCTCTTGTCACAGGTATCGCCGAGGAGCAAGAAGCAATGGAGAGGAAGAAGGCAGAGCGAAAGGCGCCCTCCAAGCTGCTGTGGTGGCTGCACGGCGACTGGAAGGAGGACCAAGCAATCGCAGAGCAGAGAAAGCTGGCGGTGGAGGAGATCAAGCGGCAAGAATCCCAAGGCAACTCAAACCTAGGTATCGCTGCTGCGGTACAAGAGGCCAGGGCGAACGACACAACATCCACTTTCACATCATCGACACCAGTAGTCGGAGGCCCGCTCGACAATACAGCAGAGAAGGCAGTGCACAAGGTGGAGGAGACGGGCAAGGGATGGTTTGGATTCATGAAGGGTGGATCGAAGAAAGAGTAGAAGAAGGACAGCGGAGAGTGAAGCCAGACGCTTCAGTGTACTATATACGACCTCAGCCTTGTACATTGCTGTCACATTAGATGTATGCATGATGGAGTTCTTCAGCAGTTATGAAGGAGTCAACGATCATCTTGGGTATCTTCGCTTCGTGTCCATATTGTACATTCAATGCATTTCAAACAATTTCCAGTCTTGCAACTCGCTAGTTCCCTTGACCAGCCACTGGTATATAGCTTCGACGTTCCCGTGCACGCTGTGTCTAGTCAGTTTCCGACCAAGTCGGCCTCGCTCATCTACACGTACCTCTCTCCATCCCTCAACATAAGGCCGCAGTGCTGCCCATCCCAATAACCCCACCGTCGCGCCAATGAAGACAAACACGACTGCCTGGTCTTTCGCAGAGTCTCTCTGAAAACATGTTGTAAGCACATTCTCCTCCTTCTCCCCGGCACAAAAGCCGTAACCGAGGCAGAACTGGCGATTGCAGTCGTTACATGTCTTCTTGGAGGCGCGGGGTTTCAATTCGAGAGCGGCGGGCTTCTTCGTGCTGGGCGCGTCGAGGGCTACAATAGTACTGTTGCCGAAGCAGGTGCATTTGCAGAATGACGTACGCGCTATGAGATGTTAATAGGTGCCTGGTTACGGAGAAAAGGGTGACGTACAGGCAGCAAGGGACAGGGAGAGGGAGGATAGAAAGGTAAGGAGAAGGAAGAGCAGGTATGGCGGTTTCCG